ATCTTAGTGATAATGGGGCTTATACTGCATTTGACTGAATTACAAAACAAGTGACACACTTAGGACTTGATGTTGGAAAGATACTTTCAAATGTTGCAGAATAGAGAACATCTTCAGGTATTTGGTCCAGAAATGCAGTCCAGCACTTGGCCAAGCATATCCGTCCTGTAACATGGTGGCAAGGTACACACAGTTGCATAACACATCTGCTGCTCCTCTTGCTTGTCACCTGCTTCAGATTCCTCTATCTTCTGCAACGTGTGAAAGAAACTGGTCTATGTTTGGAAATACTCACAGCAAATCAAGAAATAACATAATGTGTATGAGTAGAGAAGCTTGTCTCAATCTGGGCAAACCTTCAGTTTTCAGAAGACCATGAAGATTATAAAAAAGAAGGATCAGAAGAAGCAGAAATTGCTGATAGTGATGGTTCAGAAAATGAGGCTGATTAGACAAAGTTTCATGTAGCAAAATTTGTATTCAATGAGTCTTGGGGGTTTTTTCCCCTTTTTTGTCAGCTCTTTTTCTAAAAATTAGTGTTTTTTGTATCTGCTTGACACTGTGGAGGAGCCTAAGTCCAGAATACATAGTAACTTTCTTCGTTTTACTGTAATGTTGATGGTTTCTCCTATGTTCAACTTTAATTTTTGCCTGTATCTCATAAACTGGCAAAAACTAAGAGATGCTAGATTTCTTACAGTTCTGCATCCTGTAGCCCCATTTGTAACAAAAATTAAAAACATTTTAAAGCAAATTTAATTAGTAAATTTGAAATTATTGTCTGAATAAACTATACTTTTAAATTTAATAAATATACCAAACATGATAATTTTATAAAAAAAACAAGTTAAAGTAGGAAAGTGAATTTAGATCTGTAAAGGGTGCTAAGAACATAAGTATTGCATATTCAATTTTTCCCAAAATTTCCATTTTTTCCAGGAAAAAATGTTTTTTTTTCCATGGCTTCAACATTTCCAGAAATAGTACATCTCTAATACAGGCTCTGGCTTTTTGAATGTCTGACCCTAGCCAATGAGGGACTCACCTGACCAGAAGAGGGCTCAGGCTTGAGCTATAAAATACCATTTTTAAAGCATTAGATCTTTATCCCAGTTGTACTAGTTTGAGTAAGAAATTAAAAGGCCCATCAACAGGTATTCTTTAGGGCATACATTTATTTCTACTGTGTTAGAAAGACATTTACCTTCATGAGATGAAATCAAAAAAAAAAAAGAGAGAACATGCTTTCCCTTTCTTTGAACCACCAATACAGAGCACTTCTGAAGGGAGGATGCTGGACTAGATTGACCTTCCTCCTCTCCCTCCCTCCCCCCGCCATAAAAATTCCCATGTTAGGAGAACAGAACTCAAATTCATGAGAAGGGAAGAGGGGAAGGGTCACTGCACTAAACTAGCATTTTTTCATGCCACTCTTCCTCTTGACCTCATTTTTGCTAGAGATAGGGTCAGTGCAAAGGGCAGCAGTTTCACAGATCTGAGTTCGTTATATTGCTTGTTTTGCTGAATTACTGTAAAATACAAGCCCTGTGGATCCTGAGAAAAAAATTGAAAGGAGGGAGGGAGGGAGAGTAAGAGAAAGAACACAAAAGAGGAAGAGCCATTTCTGGCTAACTTGAAATGCAGCCAAAAGGAGGCTTAATAAAACTTGGCTCAAAACCCCATGCTACAGCAAAGTTCTCAGAATCATCCCTGCTATTGATCTTTGACTGTAAAACCATACCTGATGTTTCTGGAGTTTGCCTGGATGAGATGGATATAGGACTGCACTTGTGTGGTGCAGTTCTTTCAAAGGGCAGTAAAAATGCAAACTCAGCTCCATGACCAATTTTGTTTTATTAACAACTAAGCAGAGTATATAGGCAATTTGTGTGTTTTGTAACTTCAGATGTTTCTTTAAATGGATTTGGTGAACAGAATTCTAGCACTGCTGACCTTTCCAGCACATACTAAATCAAGTGGTAAAATTTTGTCCTCCTATGCACTTTTCGGAGCAAGAGGTATGATGCATTGACATTTGAAAACAGGTATTAAATAAAGACACTTTGGTGAGAACATGTTACTCGACAAGTTAGTAACAGCAGTATACTCAACAAAGAGCAGACCTTGAGAGAAATATTCCAAGCTCCTTGACTCCTGGTTTTCAAACATCCTAGCTTGCCCAACTCATCATCAGAAGCAAACTCACCACTACCCAACAGACATCCAGTGGAACTCAGCCTTGGCTCAGCAAAACATGCTTAACCTGTCAACACATCTCCACTGCTACTACAATCCACACCCTCCAAAACAAACCAAATCATAATTCATGGTTTCTACACATACCTTTCACAAAATACGATATATCTGATACAGTGCACAAGATGCTCTCATGGCAACTACGTGGATGAGACTAGACAGCAACTAGACACCAGAGTAAAGTGTCACAGAAAAAATATAAAAATATAATACGCTTCATTAGAAGCACATTTCTTAGAGAACAACCATTCCCTCCCTGACCTCACTCTGATTGTACTAAAGGGAAATCTGCCTACCACCATTAAATGGCAAGCCTGAGAACAAATATTCATGGGCTGGCTGGACATTAAGGGTGAAGTTGCACATTACACTAAGACCATACTAAGAGCACTTAAAATGTGAGCATCTGCACATTAAAGCTCGTTAACTTGTGCTAAGTGCCCTCTGAGCATCACAAAGTTATGCCACTTCAGGTAAGGGTTAACTCTGGGCTTTGCTACCTTGCTTGTGAAAGAGTAACTTCATTCTGTTCCACAAAGATAAATAGAGCAATTTGCAGCCCTCCAGCATCCCAGGATGCACTGTTCCCATCCCCATACCCCCAGTTTTCCAAGTGTATTTTACTTTGTTGTGCTGGCTTTCACTTCTCAGACTTAATGAAGAATGTCTTGCATCAGAAAGCTTGTTTGACTCTATCCCAACTGTGCAGTTGGTCCCATAAAAGTTATCACACTAAAAGTTCTTGCCTTGTACACATTTTATGTAACTCCAAGGCCCTAACTTGTGGCTTAATTTCAAAGAAAGAGAGAGAGAGTCCCAAAGTTAATACCAGCCCTCTACCACGATCTGGAAGTGCACTGCAAAAAATGTGTTGCATTCATTGGCTGACTTCCTTCTGACAGCTCATTTGCTCCTATTTCTTCCATTTCCGTGAACATTTGTACAGGTAAACCTTTCAGTCCATATTGATTACAAGAGATGTCACGAACATTCACAAGGATGGTGGCCTGTGGCTGTTTTCACACAGGGAGCATTTGTGCCACTGAGGCGAACATTCTAGGGTCTGGAAGTTATCCAATCACAGGACAGAACATTACAGTGTAATTCAGAAGACCAATTACACACTGTGTACAAAGAATTAAAAATAGCTAGTGTGCAAAGGAATATCCAAAGAACAGTTTACGAGCAGTCCACGACTTGAAACACATTCACCCAAACTTCTAGATAATTCTGACTTGGCACACTAAAAATTCACAAGTAGAGAGGAAAAAGAAAAAAAGAGGTCAGTTAATCAAATATATTCTTTGCTCTTAGTTTGCCCAACTCCACTTAAACATAGCAGCATATCTGGCTCTCGTTTTCCCTATGTAACCTTTGCACATATCCATATATAAAATAGATAGATATCACTCTTCAAATTAGTCATTTAGTAGTGAAGAATGAGAAGTTGAGGTTGTTAGGGGTTAATACAAGAAAGGTTATTCACTATGTTTCTCTTGTAGGTAACTATGACTTTACTAGCCAATTGCCTGTTAAGAATGACTGGAGGGTGGGGTGCGAGAGGGAGCTGGGATGGAGTGCCGCCACCTAATACACCTTGCTGCCGCTGTTCTGCCTCTTGCAGGGAGCGGGGTGGGGGAACCGAGGCCAGCCTCAGCTCCCCCATCTCCTGTCCAATCTTTGGTACAGCTGCAGAATCATGGTGGTGCTCCCCCACGCTTGGAGCACTCTGATTGGCTGTTTCCATCAGCCAGTCAGAGTGCGAATAAAGCGTTACAGACAGACAGATAGACAGACAGGTAAACTTAGCCTTTTATAATATTAGAAAAATGTCTTTGTATCCAAATAGAAAAAAAAGAGAAACTAGAATATTAAAATGAATATTCTTTGCAGGACAGGATGAAGAGAAAGCAACTTCAAAAGCAGATAGTAGTAAGTAGAAAGTAGATAGTAATCAGTGCGTCAAAAGTTGAAAGATGGAAGGCAATAAAATGCCCAGTTTGATTTTTGTTTGTTTGTTTGTTTCTTTGCTTGACCCAGATTAACCTAAGTTTTAGCAGTCCTGAAGCAAACTTTTCATTAAACAGTTGGAGGGCCTTCTGAATCAGATTGCCTGAAGGCTACTGAGAAAATCCTTAGGTAAATTGTGATGCTTAAAAACATATTTTAGAGGTAAAAGCAACAATATGATAAAAGTATTTTGTGGAGCCCTTCTACTTAGAATCATGTTTTATCTTTGATGTTACCTATAAAATCAGGCAGTGGGACAGCTGAAAAGCCAACTCAGCTGTTTGAGCAGGAAGAAAGATGAATTATAAACAAGGCTTGACTTGCTTGTTTCTGCTTGCAAAATAATATCTACATAAATATTTGCCTTTCTACTTCATGGACACAGTTCTTCCCTCAAGTACGGGTGTTACTTCTATTGGAGTAGCAATCTACTCTGGTGTGGAATGTCTTTTACAGTTAAGTAGATAGACAAGCTAGATTGCACTCAGAGTGAAGCTGGACAATGAAGAAAATGCTGCACTCTCAGTTTGCACCAAAAATATTCCCGTCATATATTTGTGTGTCATATACAGTATGACAATCATAACTTCTGTGTTTCAAAAAATAAAGGGTTTAACAAATAAATATGAGGCCACCCATGTGAAACATTTCCATGTATAAACATCTGTCTAAATAATGGAAAATGTAGAGGTCGGGGACCTTTTTGCATTAAATCATTTCTTTTCCCCTGTCAGATACTGCAATGAACATTTGCTATGCCCTCCACACGTATTCTGGACAGGCTGGGGTCCATGGGAACGCTGCACTGCCCAGTGTGGTGGAGGGATTCAGGCTCGTCGCAGGACTTGCGAGAATGGCCCTGACTGCCCTGGCTGTAATGTGGTGAGTCACTTCTGGGATGTCTTGTCAGCAAACACTCACAAAAATGGTGATTTGTGACCGTGAGTGTATATCTACATTGTTTGAGTCTATTTATTATTTGCATTACTGAAGTAACTAAGAGCCCAAGTAGAGGACTAGGTGGAAACACAAGAAAACTGATATATTGATTAGCAGATCAGCAGTGGCCTCAGTGTACCCAGAGCTAACCAACACCAAAAATTTTGCAGACAAGGTTCTTTGGGAATTTTGCAGTCATTTCAGAATTTTGCAAGCATTTCAGTAATGTGTGCAAAAAAGAGTTTTAAGGTGAGCCTGAAAGCAATCTGTGAAATGGCTTTGTAGGTGTTTATAGGGAGCAACCTCAGGGGGAGGGGCAGCATGGGACATGGCATGAA